TCCTGCGTTATCGTTTGGATAAGATCCTGTGGCACGTGTTCACGTCAAGAAACATTTATGCAAGATAAAATTGTTTAAATTAACCTTTTCATAAAACACAGGTTCGTCAACTACAATTTGTTATACACGGGGACAGGTGGATTATATATGAAATATGATTTTATACGTCCAGCGGTGTGGCTGCAAAAACTTTCTTCGATAGCGACAATTACAGCAAAAATTTTGAATAAACAAAATTTTTTGGTAACTTTAAACGATAAATATAAAACACTCTAAGTTTCGGAATGTTTTATTTAATAGTTTCTTTGCAATACATTCGCAAAAATCAGCTTCTTTTCAGCGTTCTACGTGTAACTCTATCCTCAATGATTCTTTGAGCGGATATCTTTCAAAGTGACACTCCGAGGACACGAACTTTTTTCTTCGCTAGCTTCTGACGCAGAAAAAAAAAAGTTCGTTTAACTCGCGGTAGTTTCCGAGTGTAAATAAGAAATTACGCGGTGAAAAAGAAAAAAGTACGATTCCCGTCGTAAAGCCGGATGGGCGGACTGTTTCAATATGGCGGCCAAGTAAATGTCCACGCTCTGAAACGACTCCCTCTGCAACTGTAATTCTCTCTCTCTCTCTCTCTCTCTCTCTCTATGTTCAACGAAGACGTTGCTGTTAATTTTTATCTCGCCTCGAAAGTTCAGTTAACCGTGAGAAACTTTCGAAATGACTTCTCGATCGAGAGGGAAGTCGTTAAAAGTTCGATTAACACGACCACTTTTACCGTTCGCCACCTCGTAATGACTGTCGCTCGAGGAACATACAGATCTGTACTGGACATCGAGACTGTATTTAAGGTTTCAAACAACTATGTCAATGAAAACGAATAATTCATTCAATAAGGTCACCTGGAAAATATATCGAAGTGTAGTCGACCTAAAAATACGATAAACGCATACAACACCTATTTCGATCGGTCGATACACATGACAAACTGTGGAGAATTTACAATTTTATAAATTAACTAATTTTGTTCACTTTCATATGGTAAGAAAAGTTGCAAAATGTCTAAGAAAATGTATTCTTATATCATTTTAATCGTCGTGGTAAGACTGTATTCTACAAATAATTTTGTTTGGCAGTTCCAGTGTTCAATTTAATTTCATCTATTTAGTAGAATAATTATAGTTAGGACTCGAAAGTAAAAAGTGTAATTCGCATCAGTGTCCTTGGGCTCCCGGTAACATTTCCCCTCTTTTCATTCCCGTATTCATCGCGGTTTCACGGCCGCTATTTTTCATGTCCCGACAACGACCGTCGCGCGTGTTTCTTCCCGTGCACTGAAACACGCGCGGTACTATCTCTGAAAAACACGTTCCACGGATCCCGTAGTTACAGAGGCGTTTCTTTCCTCGTTTTTATTTCCCCGGGTTTGTTTTTTACGATTATACACGTAGCGCCGCCGCACTAGTATATTATCCGGAACATCCTCTTTAGAACGCCGCGCAACGAGCTTATGAAGATAAAAACAGGGGACAGGTTGAAGCGATGAAATCGACGATTTCAATCGAACTTGGTCCGATTTACGCCTGATATTTAACGGGATCTGAACGATGTGTGTTTATTGAACGCTTCACTGTTAAATATAAAATCTTTTCGGATAATACATATCCGGATTCCGGAGCTGTATCAAGTCACACTTTTCAAACTTTAAGGAAAAGCAAGTTAAAGATGCGAAAACTTTGGAACTTTGGAATCATTTGGTAAGAACTGAAGGAGAAACTATCGGTAGCTTCGAACTGTTGAATAGACTTAGAATAATTCTGGATATGTAGAAATGATTGTATTAATTAACTTGATATCATTTTTGCACTATTAGGCGTATTAAAAATTATTGGACTTAGAGCAAAATAATTTTTACCATTGGAAAGAATGAAACATTTGATACAGGAAACATGTAAAATGTAATTTTTTTTTTAGAAAGTAGACTTAATACACTGTGGCTCTGGGATTCAGATGCACGAATGTGGAAGATTTAATAGAAATCAATTACGATTTGTTTCGATTCACTTGATCACTCGAAACCACAAGTGAACTAAAAGGTTATATTCGATTCTGCGTATCCTTTGATACAATTTTTAGTTCTCTGTTTAATTCACGAGGTAAACACATTAATTTGTATAAATGGATCAAAATCTCCCTACTACTCAGGTCCACCAAACAGTTTTCACCACCACCACACACACACACACACATCTTCCTGATTCATCTAGCCACTTTCACCAAACAAACTGACTGACGCAAAATTAGAGGAGTACGTTCACGAAAAACAAACAGCGAGCATACGTTTTAATCATTCCGTGGGCCAGAAACTGGACGCAATGAATGGTAACGCGAGTCGTAAAGCCGGTAGAGTGGTCCTGTAGAGGAGAAAATGAGAAACAGCAAGAAAATAGGAAGCATAATTACCGAGCGTGGCCAAGGCCCGCTTCGTGTTTCTGAATTAAATAGTAATTAAAAGTTCAACGAATATTAAGGAGTCGCAGTCTGACGGTAAAGTCTGATAAAGTGTCGTGCGTCCTCTGCGCCACAGTGAAAATACAAAGCCTCGGAAAAAGTAATTAAAAATCGTTTTAACGTCTTCGCCTTCTCTTTTTTGTTTGCTTGTTTCGCGGCCGAGTTCCCCGTGTCCGAATGAATGCCAGAAAATAGAAAGTTCGCCGAACGACGCATTGGAAAAGCAAAATTTTCTCTATTTTTAGAAATCACTTATTTTATTCCTTACTTTGGAAACCACTAATCCGAAAGTAAACAAATTTCACAAGAGGATTTTCAGAAGATTATAGGTAAAAAAAAAAGCAAAAGTAGTTACTTCAAATCGACACAAACGTTAAAATTACAACAGAATAAGGTCTTCGAGTACTCTGAATCTGATTTTAAATCCCTGACAATATGGAAAAAAATTTTTCTTGTTCCCCAGTGGAATCTTATACCGACCGTTTCTTACTACTTATAAATTGATTCTATTTTCTTCGATCAAAAAAAACGTGTTGTTCTGCATTTGAGTCATTTTTCCATAATGTATCAGTTACCAGTGTCGGACCACCGTGTCGATTGCAACTTGTGTGTGTCACGCTGTCGAGAGTTTTAGCTGTTACACAGTGATTATTTACTCGTTACCGTGACACGTCGATTATTTAGGCGGGTATAACGAGAAAACGAGTGCCGTAACATTCGATCGGTTCTCTATGATTCAACGTGACATCTTTCCGGTGATACATCTGTATATGATTATTCCATCGTACAAATGACTCGGCACGATGGATGGTTCGATCTCCGTACATTGTGCACATATATACGTATACATGTTCTCCAAGCTGCTTCGTGTTTCGCCTTAATAGCCACGTATCATCCAATTTTGCAGTTCTGCCTCGTCACCGCGCAATATCTCCATCCGAAACCTTCCCGCGAGTTTAAAAAAGCCAACACACGAGATGCAAATTTTAATACAGGAAGCGCCGACAGGAAATTAAGGTGGCATGTTTTATTCATGCTTCCATACGAAAATGAATTTCGAAATACTTTTGCAAAATTTCATTCGGTTTGCAAATATTATAACGAAACCCATTGGAAGAGAATCGTCACAGTTCTTGTATTATATTTTCATCGCGACAAAATTCCTGTTCGAAAACAAAAATAAAACGACTTCCTGTTCGAACCAATAACAAAACACCTGTGTGAGCCCCAAAGCTGTCAAATCCGAATTCCCAATTTACGATGTTTTTTTATTTTTATTTGTATTTACCTCCCAAGTCGATTCTCGAACACATCTTTGTTTCCTCCCTCTCTTTCCGAGACGATATTTCAAAAATTCTCGCATTCCACGCACCAAAAGATTTTGCGTGCTGGCCTCGATGGGCTCGGGGGGTGGGTTGCACCGACAACAAAACGTCGCCGCACAAAGGAGCTTTTTATTGGCGCGTACAAATTTCCACGTTATTTAGCCGAGTGTGATTTTATCCGACGGTGACAGTGAAGGTTGGCTAAGAGTGGAAAACGATTAAACAAAAAGCTCCCAACGATACCGACAATACCCAGATAGACAATGAACGGTGTTTCTTCAGGGGGTGGACGGGGGGGGGATTGTATTCAACCACTAGTTAATTTCCTGTTTCGGTGACACCGTTTGGTTCGGATAAGTCCCTTGTAAAGCGGTGTTCACTCGTCTGTCTGTGAGCGAGACGCCCATTTCCTCCGCGAAAAGAACATAAATCAAGGGGGAAGATTAAACGGACTGTTGCGCGCCCAGCAATGGTGCGCACTCGGACTCGTTCGTTCTATGTCACGCATTGAGAGAGCCATTGTGTCACTGTATATATTTTTTAAATTAACCACTCGACCACGGGATTCGTTACGTCTGTACTGTTGCAGAGATCGTAACCCCATTTATCTTGCAGTTGTTTTAAAGAAATCCAATTTTATAATAGCGGGGCTCTATTGAAACATTGTTAAAAATTGAGAAAAATATGGGCACTTCAAAATGGGCCACATGAAAATTAATTGAAGCTACGTCGAAGCACACCGAATGTTCGAGAAGCGTATTTTAATCCGCAGTAAAAGCTCCGATAGATGTATTTACTGCAGGATGAAATTTTATATTCAATACCTGCATGTATCATTTCCTCGAAATGTTTCTTCGATTTATATTAACGGCACGTGTGCTATAATATGATATCGAGGGCGATAAAGGAACTCGTACTGTGACAAGATCAAATTTCATTTAAATAAATCGTTACCATTTAAAAATTCTCGCTTTTTTTTCAAACACCGCGAAGCGAGACAAAAACTTTCTCACAAACCCAATAGAGAACAATTCCTCTAGTCTCTGAACATGTACGGCAATTCAAGACAAAATTCATCGAAGCAAGGACATCCTATATCGGCTGAAAATCTTGATAGAACGTGACAATATACGAATGCCAGATAATAATAGATGAACAGAGACAACTTACGGAACAGTCATTGACGTAACAGAAATCGCCGGAAGCGGACGTCGGTACCCAAAGATGTTCTCCATTAACTGCTCCGGGACCCCAATCGGGCGTCGATCGTGGTTCACGGTGACCGGCACTCGTTCCGCCCTCCTCTCTCCCTCTGAAACCGCAAGACACTCGATTACGGACTGTCACTTCCGCTATCGGCCCCCAGGCACGATGGGGGCGGGTTCTTGCAGCTGACGTTAATACCACTACAGAAATTCCATCGAAACCGCGGACAACAATGCGTGCCAGACACAGTTGGGCAACAAAAATGATTTTTCAAAGTCATCTTCAATTTATTGCAAACACACCTATAATTTTCTTACGCCTATCTGTTAGAGAATTTCAAGACGAATTCGATAAGTATCATAACATAACATCTGTTACTTTTTTTTTTTCATCTGGGTCGAGAAAAGATTAAGGAAATATTCAAACTGTAATATTACAAAGAATATCGTATGCCATTGTACGCGTTCCGATGTTGAGCTCTTGCCTACTGTTTGTAAACGTTTCGTTCTGTACATTGGAACATATATCTAATGATATCTACTGATCACGATTCGTGGTTTACCTTGTATATCACCGATCGTCTTTCGTTTTATTTCTCCAATAAATTTCTCGCAGACTCAGGACAGAGGAAGGATCAGGTCCGAGACGTGGGAACGGGTCCAAGAATATCTTGGAAGACAATCGCCGCGGCGCCGTATGCACAGTATATTTCAGACGACACGACGGCCAAAGAGGGACTTAATACTATCCGGCGGAAGCCCCGCGGGAGGAGGTGCTCGTGAAACATTCAAGGACACTTTAAATTTCAGAGACGTAGCCCGCGACATAATGCGCGCAGCGGCGTGCAACTTTAATGACAAAAAGTCATCCCCCCCTCCCCCACTCCCTCCCATTCCCCACCATATAACCTAGTCTTCTCCAGTTCCCTTCGGACGATTATATAAAAATTTTAGGTTTCCAGACGCGGCAAAGCTTTGCTGGCTGGCTGCTGCTTTCTGCATAATTGGCCCGATGGAAATTGCCGGATATCTGGGTCAAACGCGGGACGACACTCGGAAACGTAACGGACGACGGGGTTTGCCTCGCCTGCGCGGATATCTGTCCTCGGATCGAATCATTCGAGCCACGAAACTTTAAGGATTTACGAACGAAACAGGGAAATATGTATAAAGAGTGGACCACGAAACGTGGATCAGCTTGGATTATTCTACTCCTAGCTCTTCAATTGCACAGTTTTTTTGGTTAGTTAGATAAGTCCCAATTATGGATGATGTCGGTATTTTAGAGGGTTAAATATATTTGTACGAATTAAAAGAACTGTTTTTATACAACATCAGAAATAATTTTTTCTAATTGTAGTTCACTTCCGTTTACATTACGTCTGCACATGTTGAGAATAAGATACTTTAGTATATGATTTTTGAGGACATTTTATGTATGGAAGTTCGCAGTCTATCTAGTATAATATAGACATCTGTGGTTATTACTGTTAATATAATTTTGTGAAGTTGCATGCGAATAATAGACAATTATCCCTGAAAGGATTTTTCTAAAAACTTGTTTCGAAGTTGAAATATTCCATGAACATTTAGAAACCGTGGTAACGATTCAATCTAAAAAATACCAAGCGAACTTCAATGGATTAAATAAAGAAATATTATTTAAATTATTCCAAGAAACATCTAAAAGCAAACAACCTTTTCATACATTCTCATTTACGCGAAATTAATTACACCCAACAATCCTTTAGCGAAACCAGTAAATATTACCTCGGCTTCGTTAGTTCTGCGATGTAACGTTAATTAAAACCGAAATATTTTATGTAACACTATAAAAGTGTTTCAAAACAATATTTTTCATAGACTAAGCTCCACCAGAAATTTTACCTGGTCCGTCTAATTAGGAAACGGCGAACATTACCAAAGAAAGAAATCGATGTTCAGAAGTAGTTCCATTCGGTGCCTTGGCAAACAATTTAAAATTAAGCTCGAAAGTAAAGCGGAGTTTCATGCAAAGTCATACTAAAACCGATATTCACGGGATTGAACTGCAAAAGGGGGAGAAAAGGAGGGCTTAACCAGCCAACTCAAATTTCGGTGCTGAACTTCGGGGTTAATCTGCGGTGCATTAGGGGGTATCATTGTCGGAACTTAAGGAACTCGTTAAATTCTGGTTACAAAGAGACACGGTAAATGAATTTCATAATGTCGACGGTGATTTTGGTCCACGAAGGAGAAACTGCGTACCCACTAAAATCTTGCAAATTCGCTTCCAAACAGTGTCACGGAATCAATAGTAACTATGTACTCGTAGAATTAATTCTTTTTCATAGCAACGAACCGTGCAGAGGACAAAATGACTAACTTGACTTTTTAAACTTTTTTAATATTCTAGCGTCAAAACAGCACTTGATCGGTGTTTAACTTTTAAAATAAATTTCCTTGATGATTTCGTGCTGGAATTAATCATTTTGGCGAATGGACAGCAGAATTAATTTTCTAGAGGGGAAGCTGTTGGTGGTCTAACATCCTTTCCAATGCTTAACACTTTGACTGCCATGCAAATATGGTTAACACTAAGTATATACATTGGACTATTTAAATACCGTTACACAATTTTTGCTAACATTAACATGACAGTATATTTTAAAACAAGACCAACAGTCTCTATTATCTAAACGCATATATTTTTGATGATCGACTTAAACAATGAAATAAAATGTGTCTGACTATATACCGCCTTTTTCACTGTGGCAGGCAACGTGTTAACTGAAAAGGCACATTCCACTGAATATTAAATTGTTGGGGAATAAATGACAGTACATAGGTACTTCAAATCGACACAAACGTTAAATTTCAACAGTTCGATTATTTTGAAAATCGAAATGATTAAATTGAAATGATTTCGCCATGACTGAAGTAGTCGCGTTTCTAACACCCAAATTGTACTTTCATTTTTCAACATAACATTTCTTTGTTTCTAATGTAAATCAGGGTCCCAATTTCATAATAAAATTATCGTAAACAATTCTTTGTACGTTACAGGTTGTTATTAATTAAAACTAATAAAGTACCGGTATCAGGAAGCCTGCCAGTAATTGGGACATTTCCCCTAATCTACGGTTAACAACACCACAACGGACAAATTCTAAATACATAACCGGAAGTTGGCCGTGGAACGGTCGGGGGCTATACACGCCATATATGTGAAATTAGTTCCTTAATAATGGACGCTTTACGGCCAATTAAGAATTCACTGGCATCCCCTCGAGAATACGCGTGGCTGTAATACCGAGCCTGAAAATTTCATTTGCCAATAGACCCACCCCTGCCGTGGTGTTCTATGGGCATTTCGAGACCACTCAATATTCAAAAGTCCAGCTCTGCCACCGGCCGACCAAACGGAATCCGGCTCGTTTGTCAAATCTGTTGTCGCGAATGCAGCCCAACGCGGCCTCGATCGAATTCTTAACGAGTTCGGGGAACATCCAAATTTTCCCCACCTCTTTTTAAACCAGGGTTTTTTTTTCGCGTCAACAAACCACGCCGTCATCTCACGGCTAACAAAGTGGAAATTCTACGTTCACCTGGCACGATAAACATTTTCCATCAACGTTCCTCCCCCTCCCCCTCCTCCACGTGACGGCTTTTCGCTGGAAAAATCGATAAAAAACTATCCTTGTGCAATACACACCTGTTCAAAACGAGTCATTTCGAAATTTTTCACTGATTTTTGTACATAGAAAAGTTTGCGCGAGAGTAACAACGTGGTGATTGTAATGGCTCGGGGGGTTTTTCTTCATCGAGATTCTCCGTATTGGCTGAGAGTAATTCACTCGGGCTGTGTTACGTGAATGTTATTCGAGCTTTCGAATGTTACAGGCGGACTGGGCATGTATTTTTAGAACAAATTGTGAAATGTTTGTAATGGGACACTGCCGGAAGCTTGAATGATGCTTCATAGGATTTTTACATATTTGAATTTTAGAAAGAGCATTGATAAAAAAAATTACAGTCACCACGGAAAGTAAGTTAACGACCAATTGAAGAGTACTTGTAGAAAACCCTGTGTGTGCTGTTTGTTAGTTGTAAAGAATACTCAATGTGCCATTTGTTTAACACTAGAACCTGTTTGTTCCTGGATTATTTGCATAGAGAACCAAAAATATAACGCTTGAATTGGCATTCACAGTATTTTCTCCTACAGAAGCGACGTTGGTTTTATTGTGTACCAGTGGTGCCACTTTTTAGCACTATTGGTAACTATTTAGCAAGGGAAATTACACTTACATTGTATACTACAGTATTCCCATTAGCCACGTAGAACATTTTTTCATTAAAAGAAAAAACTTTTTCAATTGCATTTAATATAATGTTTCGTCGAAATGCTACTAAAATAAATGCTGAACGTGTGCTGGTAAATCTTCAATAAATGTCAAAAGGAACACAGGAATGTATCGTCCCATAGCAACAGGACATCCATCATTATCCCGGAATTGAAACAATTCGAGGTAACGTTAACAGACTTCCTTGGCGACTGTACACGTCCCTTTGGAACTATATTTCTTATAAATTGGTTGGTAGAAATGCGAATTCCCATAAACATTCAGAAAAAGAACGAACACATCGCGTATTGTACTGACGAAAGAAAAGTATCGTCTCAAAATACGTTTGAAAATGATTGCTCTTAACCCTTCAATTAACCATCGAATGATACGGTGGATTTTAAGGTCGTATTTAGTAACGTGGGGTCGGATCCGACCCCAGCTCTGTTTTGTTATTTTCAGATATGTAAACAAAATTATTATCCTCAACTTATATTTTTGTTTCTTTATACATATAATAAGCTACGTATTAAACATTTATTAAATAATAAGAAATATTTGAAAACAATAATAATAAAAATATAAAAAATAGTGGGGATAGAACAAGGGGAACTATATCTTGGGTCTGATAAGACCTAAACATTACCGTTAGAGGGATGAAAAGAAGAACTAAAAATACATATAGATCTGAAAATCATTGGAGAAATAATAGATGAGACGTTTCTACGCCCAAATACAATCGTTCATAGGGATATAAATGATGAAATCCAATTAATTTCATC